TATCAATATGGATGAAAGTATATCAGAATATGTTTACTGTTCATTGGAATGTGAAAATGGAATTTGTAAACTTTTTATTTTAAAATGCATCAAAAAACTAAACAATAATTATACAATTAACTTTTCAGAAACATAGAGATACCGTATCCCAGCTCCTTGGGCCTAGATCCTAATGAGCAGCCATTAAGATATGAATAAAATAATAAGTAATTAAAACTGAGGTATGATATTTCAATACCGTATCATTACATATTCCAAATAAGAACAATAAGTTACTGGTTTTCTTGCTGGTAAAGGATGCTGTGTGAGACATGGATGAATCACTTAGAAACATCCAATCTTTTGCCTGAATCTTCTCACATTAAATTGTTTGAGAGCAGCCAGCCTGACCAGTATTGCTGTAGGACACACAATTTGTTTCAATATTTTCCTCCTCATAAAATGGTTTGAGGAAAATATTTTGACAAAGTGCGAGGAAAGCCCTATGAAAAATCCAGAAAGAATATTAAAATGCAGATGTATCAGATTAAATAACAAAGATACATATTTTCAAGACCATGATTTGCAATTGTAAAAGATTCATTCAAAAGCTGCATTATTAGAAAGGCAGAATAAATAAAAATTGAATTGAATTTTGAATTGCAGTGACTCAGAATATTGTTCAGAATATCTTGTACTATGTAAACAAAGTAGATTTATTTTCCTTCACAATGCATAGAAAATAGACACAAAGAAAGAAAATACTGAAATACTGCCACAGAAATGTGTGGTTTTATCTTATTAGGATGTATAAAAATAACTGAGGAAATGATTAAGTAAAAAATATGGATGAGAAAAAATGCACACAAGGTATTTTTTTTTTCAAAGTTAAAAAGAAGATATCATCATATATTGTAAAAAGGACTGCATCATAAACTATGAGAAACTATTATATTAGAGTTTAAACTTTGTTTTGCTCGGGAGTACTTTATTTGCTTTTGTTTGTATGTTGCTCTTTTGGTTGACTTTTCTTTTTACTAGATCATTTTTTCAGGTGTTTAGGAGTCTAGTGGTTCATTTCAAGAAACTCAGTTTTGCAGCAATTTTTCTCAGCGCCAAGGAGCTTACAATAGACAAGTCTCTCTCTCTTTGTCTGTCTGTCTCTCTCTCTTTCTGTCCATATCTCTCTCTTTATCTATCTTCTGGAGATGGAGGAGATGAAAAACAGGCCAATTTTTGGCTTCCCGGGGCATCCGCATGCCCTATTTTTCACTTCCCCTGCCTCCAGAACATCTCTTCAGGGAAAAAAAAGGGCCAAAATGGGGGATGCAAACATGATTGAAAATGGCCAATTAAAATGGCCAATTTTTGGCTTTCTGGGGCATCTGTGTATCTCATTTTCACGTCCCTCATTTCCAGAATATCTCTGCAGGCAAAAAATGGGTGAAAATGACTCATCTGTGTGCTCCATTTTTTTTACCACCCCCACCTCCAGAATGTCTCTGGAGGCCAAAATTGGCCTTACCTTTCAGTTGCAGCCCATGGGGCTCATGAAGGTAAATTCAGTGCTTAGCTGAAGGTGGGTGGGGTGATATGTATGGGGCAGCCTAGTGGTCCTGTGTGGACTCGAATAATGGCTTTGGCGAGCCATAGTTTGATGACTCATACACTAGAGGGTAAGAAAATATGTATTGCATGGAAACTTTATAATAAGAGTTGGATTAATGAATGTCTCAAATCAAATAAGTAAACAAACAAATAAAATAGACAGCCATTTGGTTTAGAATTTTTATGAAGGTTCCTACATTAGGCAAAGAATTAGACTAAAAGACTTTCAATGTCATGTTCAACCATGTGTAGGTAAATACATGTATTGATACAGAAAATTTCTAAAAAATTGAAAATAGGAGAGGAAAAAATTGCACAAAATTTATAAGACATATATTTGCTATTTGATATACTATTATGTGCGCTATTGTGGGTAAGAATAAATCTCCACACCTCTGTCCAATTTTGGTGCTTTTCTCTATATTCTTTCTAGTTTCTTATAAACTTTGCTTTTATTGTGACTTCTGATCACAGAATTGCAAATATAGTCTGACCTGTACATAAAATCATATTTTGTGGAAGCAAGAGACAGTTATCTCAGAACTATTCCAAAAGAAAATCAACCCTGCTTTATCTTAGTGGTTGCCAACTTTTCTGGCTCTGTGGACGGGCAATATTGGTGACAGAGGTTTTCCACAATGTATCGAATCCCTTGCATATGCAAATAGAGCTTTGTGCAACACAGTTTCCAATAGGCCATGGATTGGTAGCAGTCTGAGGACCAGGGTTTGGAGTCCCCTGCTTTAGCTAACATTATTTACCTCAGAAGAAAATAATGTGATGACTACGTATGCATGCCTGGTTATAATTTATTACTTTGCATTTTTATCACTTAAATGGTTAGATCGGGTGAATGGAAAAGACAGGAGTCAGGCTTCAGTAGCAACAGCTCTTTATTCAGCAACTAAGTACAGATCCAGCAATGACCCATCTGACAGCTTGCCCTTATACAGGGATCTGTCAACAGCTCAACCAATAGGCTTGAAGTATTTTACCACTGGAACAGTGGATCTTGGTGAAGCCTGTGCTTCAGTCTTTATATCTAACATAAATAGTTAAAGAAATCCAGTTTAATGGATTAAGTCATCATGTTCAATTAAAAAAAAATTCTCCAACATAGATCTGATCCAGTAAGTATGAAGTAATCAGAAAAATGCCCTTGAGACCAAACTGCCCACCTGAGATACAGAGCCCATAAGTTAACTGATACTTCCAATCACAAGAGAAAAAAGCTTTAATTCCTAACCCAATTTTCCTGCTGTATTTCAATGGAATACCATGGAACAAAGCTAATTCTTTCCCTTCCCCATTTTTGCATTTTTCCATGGCTGCTTTCCTTTGCCGGTAAGTGAACTTTTATATATTAATATAACCAGAGATTAGAGGAATATCAGCGGATCCTACTGCAATACTTTCATTGTTGGAATCTGAACTTTTATCTAAAATGTCAGCTAAAATGTAGCCCATTTATCTGTGGTAGAATACCAGGAAACTTGAAATTTTAATGATTTCAGTAGAAAAATTAAGTAAACCCTTAGAAATGGATAGCTGAAATTTATGTAAGTTAAATTCATTTAGTCTCATGGATATTTTGTTCATATTTTTAAAGGAAGGTTTAAAAATCATACAATCCCACATAGGAAGTAAACCACTTTGTTTAAAGACATAAATTAATAATTTTGTATGAGCCTATTTGAATATAAAATTTAAGCATCAAGATAATATAAAAATGCAATAATGGTGATAATAAAATTGTATATCTACTATAATAATATTAATTGCTTAAATGTATCTGGATTTCAATCATAAATAAAATGATGCTATCTATAATTTTCTTCAATTATATACATGGATGTATATTTTTTGAAAGCTCACTAACAGGACCATCTGTACTTTCTTTGATGTAGGAGCAATTAATATTAGAAAGATTGAGCCTTAGCTGGTATTCAAATAGATATTTAATAAATGTATCATATTAGCTTGAAAAACATGGATAGATTCTAAACAGACTCTCTATAGATACCTGTTAAAAATTAATTCATAGTTCAATTAAGTTAGTGACTGAAATAGCATATATAGTATGTACATGTAAAATATATTTATATTTGATAAAGGGATTAATATAACTGATATGAATTGATAGACATTGTTCATACCACCACAAGAATAGATTCACATAAGTAGCAATCTACCACACTACACAGGAAACAAGGTGCAAAGTATGCAGATAGGCAAATATATATGGCAGGATCTTAGATGCAGGAAGGAATGCATAAATTGAATGACATTGAAGTGAATTGACCAGGCTCTCCCAAATCCAGATGGAAGGTTCCACAGAAGATCATGGAGAATATCAGGGTTAAAACCCTGTGGGCTTCCAGATCTGGACAGTCAGACAGATTATGGCTAATCAACCAGATATTGCAATAGTTGACAAGCTAGAAGTCAGTGATGGTGACAGATGTAACTTTACCAAGTGGCAGCAACATCAGAAAGAAGTATGAGAAGCTGGAGAATTACTAAAGATTGGAGAAGGAACTAAAGAGAATGTAAAAAGTTAGATCGAAATGGTCCAATCAATTGATAAGGATACTCAGAGCTGCTGTGACTCCTAAACTGGAAGAGTGACTCCATCAGTTCCCAGAAATATCTCTATGTGTGCACATATGTGATGGTGTGTGTGTGTGTGTGCGTGCGTGCGTGCGTGCGCACACGCACATGTCCTATGCATATTAGTCCAGCAACAATCCCATTGACCTAAACAGTGGGAGAACTACCATTGTGGAAGAAAAATTATTGAAGCAGTTATCAAGATCAAGATGATGTATTCAGCTTTGATTTCTCAAGCTGTCATGCTTGATGTAGAAGAATGAGCTTTTTAACCAAAAAAAGGTATCATTCAGGGGGGGGGAGTGATAATTGAATATGGGATTTCTGAAACTGGTTGAGACAAATCACTTATTTTCTGTCAAAGATTTTATGCAACTGTTTGAAGTATTCCGTCCCCCCTCTTTAAAGGTATTACATCTTAAATCATCATATTTTAATCTATAAAAGAAAACCAAGCCAAATATTTAGAAACCTTATTGAATCAGTAGCAGTTTGTTAAGCAATTTGCACAGATCCCAAGAGTACGGTAACTGGATTCCTCTTCGTTCTAATCTACAATTTTTATATGTTCAAGAATATTTTAGTAATATAACACTAAATTTGTGCAATTAGTTAAATTGGACTTTTTTTTTCATCTACAGTGCTCAACAGAGCATTTTTGGAGATAGCATGAATTGAGCTTGTTGACTGACTGCAGAGAGCAACTATAATGGATACTTCTGAATTTCAAATGCTACAAAAGTTTTCTAACCCGAATGTATAAATTGACTTTCTGGACCAGTATACGTGTAATGTGAAATGCAATGCAGGGTAACCAGACAGTCATCACTCATTTCATCCTTCTGGGATTTGGGAAGCTTCATGGTATGCAGATGTTATTGTTCATGTTGTTTTTAATACTTTACATATTTACCATGATGGCGAATTTCCTTACTCTTCTTCTAATTCTGGTTGATCAGCACTTGCATACACCTATGTATTTCTTCTTAGGAAATTTGTCCTGTTTGGAAATGATGTACAGCTCTACAATCTTGCCTAATATGTTGGGAGGTTTTTTAACAAGGGAAAAATCCATCTCCTTCAAAGGATGTATTACACAGTTTTATTTCTTTGCTTCCCTGGGTAGCACAGAATGCTACCTCCTCTCTGTGATGTCTTATGATAGATTCTTAGCGATATGTAAGCCACTACATTATGTTACTGAAATGAGAATTGCACGCTGCATCCAGCTAGCTATTGTGTCTTGGATCAATGGCACGGTATTTACATCTATATATTTGGTCTTAATGTTACAGCTTTGGTTCTGTGGCCCCAATGAAATTGATCATTTCTTTTGTGAATCCTTGCCATTAATAAAGCTATCTTGCAGTGATACCACACTTGCAAAATATGCTATTGCAATCCTGGCTTATACATTTACATTTCCTCCTTTTATTTTGACTTTTATGTCTTACATATTTATTCTAAGGACCATTTTGAGAATACCATCTAGAATTGGGAGACAAAAGGCCTTTTCTACCTGTTCCTCTCATTTGATCGTTGTATCTTTTTTCTATGGGGCAATAACAATTGTATACCTGATGCCTGAAACTGAACAAATGAAAAATTATACCAAATTCTTTTCTCTGTTATACACAGTGCTTCCCTCACTACTCAACCCCCTAATATACACCTTGAGGAACAAGGCTGTCAAAGAAGCCCTGAAGAAGCTAATTGGTAGATTTCGAAAAAAATAAGTTTTTACCATGTTTTTGAAAGAGATGCAATAATGTACAGTTTGTAGTTAATGGGGCTTTCCCGTACAAAAGCTTTTAGAAATATTGTTCAATATACATTTTCAATGTGCAGGGGGATAGCTCCATATTTTCAACTAGTATTGCTATTTGAATTTTTCCTTCATGGACACATTAAGAATAATCATATATTATAGCTTTATCAGTAGTATTTCATTAGAATCAAAATAAAGAAAACTATTACTTGATTTTTCACCTTAGAATCTTAATAATTTTGTCTCCCAAAACCTGGTAGGCCATGAGGCCTGTAGATTCCAAGGAACTGCTGAGATGTTAAGGTGGCTACATGGTTATTGACATCTGCTGTTTGTCTAATATTGTCTTTGATACCAGTTAATATTGATGGGAAGTGGAAATATTCCCATCTGTGGATACCTCATACCAGTGAGATGTCAGAGGAATTGGCACTCTTTTCACTCCTGTTTAACATCTACACGATATCATTTATTGCCCTACAGTGAAGTATCATTAGAATGCTTATAAATCTCTGGCTGTGACAAATTAAGTGATACTGTTAATCTGCTCCTGCAGTGCCTGGAGGCTGTGGAGAACTAGATGTGGAAAAATGATAAAATTATAAATAATAAAATAATGTAATGATATAATATAAATATGATGTAATGGTATATGATATCATTATGACATGTTATAGTATAATAATGCCTTGTTGTTTGTATGTACAATTGTGCAGGGGGGATAAATTCATTGTGTGTCCAATCACAACTGTCAAATATATCCTATCTTATCCTATTGTAACCTATTCTAGGTTCAACCAGGGATGAAATTCAGTAGGTTCTGGAGAACCAGTAGTAGAAATTTTGGGTAGTTCAGAGAACCAGCACATACCACCATTTTGCAGTATTCTTCCACCAGAAGTGGGGAGCGAATGGGGATTTTGCAGTATCCTCTCCCTGCCACCCCACCAACCCACACCCACAGAAGTGGTATTAAAAAAATTGAATTTCACCACTGGGTTCAACTGAATCTTGGGAAAATTCAATGGGTTTGGGGGCTTTTGCATCTGGGTCTTTACCATCTTGGTACTAGATGGATTGGCACTACCTCAAATGGTCCTGGTGCCCTATTTGTGGATCATTTTACTCCTTTTTTTCCTTATTCTTGTATCATATAATTCTTTTCATTATTTCAAGCATCTTTAAAATGATATCAGATGAAGGCCATCAAAAAGTCTTCTTTACCTGCTCTTCTCATACATGGTTATGACTTCATATTATGAGAGTGATAACTTGATTTCTCTGCAAGTCAAAGCTTTGACATATACCACTGTCACAGTCATGCTGAATCCCTTTATCTACACCTTAAGAAAAAAGGAAATCTATGAAGAAATTAGAAGATGATGCGTAAAATAGCTATAAGAATATTGTTCCAAAAGAAATAATATAGAGGTATTTTTTAGATATGGGAATTATCTATAGAATTACTAATAAAAGTTCTTAACAATTTGTACATATTGTGCAAATTCAAGGATTATTTGAATATATTAAATTTCTTGTAAGAAATCCCAAACTTGCGGAAATTTAATACAATCATCTACTGGAATAAGGAAAAATGGTATATTTCTCCAATAGATTCAATACATGGGATTTTTCTGGAACAATATTGGTTGCACTCTGAAATTAGGAAGAATTACTTACACCGTCAAGAGCAGACATTCTCAGAAAAAAACCCAGACATGTTGTTTTCTTTCATTCATGTGTGAATTAAATGGAAAGGGAGGGGTGAAAAAGGATCAATATCTCACCTTCAGCATCTTCATTTATTCACCTGATTAGTTGCCTTCAGAAGTGGTTTAACATCAGCATATTGTACTCTGAGTACCTTCAATTTTTCTTTTTAATATTTCTTTTTTCTATATTTTATTCACTATTGGGATAATTTATAATCATTTTACAATGATCAAAAGCAATTAATATTTCAATTCACAATAGAATTCATAATTAAAATGATTTTTAAAATTTATCTATTGTGCTGTGATTAAACTGTGTTAATCTATATCCATATTTTGAGTTGTCACCAACCTTGATTCTTTTAAAATAAATATTATAATAATGAAAATGAATCATTATGCAAATTAATTCCAGATCCATAATGATCCATCCATTAAAATCTAGACAGGGTACCTTATTATTTTATTAAAAGGTTCATACTTGCTACATGGGGGCCTAAAGAAAGGGTTGGGAGAACGTCTCCAAGATGACAAGGGACAATTTTGTTCATTTGTATGGCATCGTTGCACTTATTGAAGCAAGATATATTTCAGGATACTGCACATGCCCCTCTTGCAGTTTTTGACATGCAAATATTGATTTGCTGCCAGATTGTGGTAACTAATGTCAGCTGCCAAAAATATTAAATTCAGTCTATCTAAAGATCATCCTAGTACACAGATGTAGGTTCCAACAGAGGTTATAAAGCATTTTTATAATTGACCCAATCATTCCTTTTTGTTTAGAAACCAGTTTTCACTTCTTCCAAATTTCTGTGATGTCTCAGCTAAACAGAATGGTAAATTCCTTTAGAATCTCATGTAATTCAAATCTAATTATAATTTTGGTTTCAAAACAGATTTAGATTACATCATAGGATTTGATATGTAAATATACATTATCATAAACATCACATTCTGCAATTGGTTCAGAAAACAAAAAAAAATCACACATTACACTGATTCTTGCTCAGGAAATGATTTATTCATAACTATATATTTACTATTCTTTTTTTCTGAAATATTAGAGAATTTCAGAATTCTGTTTTTGAGGGATGGTATTGGGACTGAGTCAAAACTCTGGATAGTGAGATGGTCAGTGTATACATTTCATATTAAATGAAAAACAGAAGGTATGAAGACGAGAACAGAAATGCTGCTCCATTGCTTTGTCACTTCAACTTTGAAATGATATGTGGTTTGTTTTCCATAAGGGGTTTGGAACTTCATTTTGCCATCCTGTGGAACTCATTACAATCACAAACGTTAGATTATATTCCTAACAATGACAATGATGAAGATGATGGTGGTGGGGTGAGATACATGTGATGATTAAATTTACAGTTATTATTAGATCTGTGAGGAAGATAGAACATCACAGAAGTGAATAATCTTTTTCATGCCACAGAATGGAAGGTTGAAGATCCAGGCTGCCTGCAAAAATGAGACAGGAACACCAATCAGCTAAACACCACCAACCAACATCAGACAGAAGCTCCTGCTGAAAATTTTGGCATAGTATAGTGTCTTGCAGATGGCAACATAATGATTAAAAGACATGGCAGGTAAAAGGAAACACTCAGCACATCCAAAGAAGAAGAAGCAAAACATTTGAATTGCACAAACTGTGTAAGAGATAGATTAACTAGCATTTTGGGGATTTTATCTAAAGTGAAGCATACCCCAATGGAGGACAAGTTTCTTAGGAAGAAGTACTGAAGGGCTGGATCTTTTATAGCTTTAAATATGATGAGGATGTTTTCAATCATTGTAACAAAGTACATTGGCAGGACTATTGAAAATAGAAGCAATTCAATATTTGGCATGCTGGAAAATCCAAAAAGCATGAATTCTATTTGAAATGGTTCATTTTTCCACTTCATTTCTTCCAGATGACTTTATAGGATTAGATACTAAGAAAAAAGAAATAAGCATTCAAAATAGATTTATATATATATATATA